TCATCAGATGTAGCTTCTTGGATGAGAAACGAAACATCTTCCTCAAGGAAAACAAAAAGTCCAGTTGCCTTTTTGGAAAAACACCTTTTGAGACAACTGTGACCTGGATGACTGAGAATTTCCATAGACATGTATCAGGTTATGTTCCTCCTCCAGTTCCATTTGTACCATCATGAAATAATCAGTGAGAAAATAGACCCCATAGTTCAAGGGTGTCAAACTCAAGACCCACGGGTTGGATCCAGACTATGGGGTGCTTAGATCTGGCCCACAGGGCCACCCTGGAAACAGCGAAGGACCAACCTGTGGTGCTTCTACCAGCAAAAACAGAGCTCAGGAGAGCCGTGCATGATGGACCTTTTCGCTGGCAGAGGGCTGCAGGAGGCTGGCACAGCCAAAATGGAGCCCTGAGGAGCCACATGGGGCCCACCGAGCTTCGTTTTCACTGGCAGAGTGCTAGCAAAACAAGCTACTAGCAAAAGTGGATCCCCCAGCCCCGCCTGGGCCACAAGAGGTGCCCCTGACACAAGTGACGTTGAGCTGGCTCGCCCACCTTGGCCACACCCACCTGGCCACACCTACCTGGCCCCCTGAGGTCAAACACAACCCTGATGCGGCCCTCAATGAAATCGAGTTTGACACCCCTGCCCCTCCTCAGTCTCAAAGAGTCTCTGATGTGCCCATAACATTCCCATACGATCAGTGGCGGGCTTCTGCCAGTTGTAACAACTGGTTCACCCAGCACCAAAAATGTGAATCCATGTGTGCGGCCTTCCGCGCATGTGCGCAGCTTTAAAAACACAGCGATATAGGACGGAATAGCGCCGGGGCAGGTGGGCGGGCCCACCAGTGGATCGCAACTACCGGTTTGCCCGAACCGGTCTGAACCGGCAACAGCCCACCTCTGCATACGATCTAATGAAGCCAACTTGCATTCTCATCTATGTTCAGCTATTCTTACCTTCAACACTCGAGCGAAACGGTCCAGGCAGTTTCCCACAGCAATGTCTATAGTTTCCCCAAATATACGATAGCGATGTTCAGAGTAGGCAATGACCTGGATGGGAGGAAGAGGCAGACACAGTTATAACACCCTTTACTTACGCTCAATGTTCCTGAGATCCACATGGGCCAACCGAAGTTTTTTTTCCCACCTTCTTAGATGGAAATCATTAGGTTGGAAACAATAACAAGGCAAGAGAAACCAAGCAAAATAGCAACATGTTTGGTGAGGTCTAACTCTAGGGAATCCACAAAATGTATGGTGCACTATAAAAAAGTCAATCAACAAGTGGAGTACTAAGCCACTTTGTTCTAGGGCCTGCTGAAGAAGCCAAGTGTTTTAAGGCTTTCTGAAAAGACAATGTCAAGTGAATTTGGACTTCAAGGGGAATGGAGTTCCAGAAGACACAGATGACTACAAAGAAAGTCCAACTTTGACTCTCTGCTTTACTGATGAGCCCTGGAAAATAATGATAGCTCTGGCCAGATGTTATTGACTGGACAAAAGCCATCTACATGTCTCCCATAGCTTCAGAGTCATCTCTGTCTTCTCACACCAAGCTCTTTGACAATGCTGGACTTCAGCACTAAGGAGTTTAATGATGCTGCCTGCTCAGAAGTGCTTACTTGCACTAAACTATAACACGAGTTGCTTTATTTCTGATATGCCTTGGAAATCTGGCCACAGCAAACCAACTGTAGATTATTTAGCACAGTGTGTGAATTGAGTCTGAAGCTGAGTCAATGCTTCCCTCTAAGTCATGATATGGTTTCCTGGTTTTTATTTTGGTGGGTCATGAACTCAACTGCTGCTCTTGGGGATAAAGCGATATGCATGAACTTGGAATATTATGGTTTACATCAAACCATGGTTTAGCATAATATGCAAATCCAGAAATCCCTTTTCTTCCACAGTACCTGAGTGTTTCCACCACTGACGTACAACACTGTTGGGTTCTTCGCACCGGTGACAAGCCGCCCCATCTCAATATGTCCGACACAATGATTCACTCCCAGAAGAGGCTTCCCCCACAACTGGGCCACTGTTCTGGCCACAACAGCCACAGTTACTAGTGGAGCACCCATCCCTGGACCTGAAAGATGGGGAAATATGCATTAAGTCCAATGTAGCATTGATGTACGGCTCTCAAATTTTATTTTGCATTTATTTAATTGTTTTGGTTGTCCTTACAGACCACAGGTAGTTCTCGACTTACAATCACAATTGAGCCCAAAATTTATGTTGCCAAGTGAGAAATTTGTTGAGTGAGTTTTGCCCCATTTTCTTGCCACATTTGCTAAGTGAATCACTGCAGTTGTTGAATTAGTAATGCGGTTGTTAAATGAATCTGGCTTCCCCATTGACTTTGTTTGTCAGAGGTCACAAAACAGGATCACATGACCTAGGGACTTTGCAACTGTCATAAATATGAACCAGTTGTCAAGCATCCAAATGTAAAATCACATGACCATGGGGATGCTGCAACGGTCATAAGTGTGAAAAATGGTCATAAGTCACTTTTTCCAGTGCTGTTGTAACTTCGAACAGTCACTGAATGAACTGTAAGGAGAGGATTATGTGTGTGTGTGTGTGTGTGTGTGTTTGTGTGTGTGTGTGTGTGTGTGTGTGTGTCTGTTTTATTCTATCAATCTGGGGCATTTAAAACATGCTTTGATTAGGACAGGGGTGGGCAACTGTGGCCCTTTTACAACCTGTGGACTTCAACTCCCAGAATTCCTGAGCCAGCTTGGCTGTCTCAGGAATTCTGGGAGTTGAAGTCCACAGGTTGTAAAAAGGCCACAGTTGCCCACCCCTGGATTAGGAAGATTGTCTAGGAGTAGAGAACTTGGTGGTTCTTCAGATATTGCTAAAATACAGCTTTCTGCAAGTCTAGCCAGCATGGACAACAAGAAGGTTACCAGGAGATGGAGTACAGCTATATGTTCTTCAAGGACTCTTAATCAGAATACCTTAAAGCACAAGTCTCCAACTTTGGTGACTTTAAGACTTATGGACTTCAACTCCCAGAATTCCCCAGCCAGCCATGCCCATTACCTGCTGAATATTCCATAAACCATGCAGGCTGGGGAATTCTGGGAGTTGAAGTCCACCACAACTCTTAAAAGTTTCCAAGGTTGGAGACCCTCCCTGCTTTAAAGAACCCATGTGTCTCCTTCCCTTTAAGAAAAGGATTCACCTTTGGTGAAAGCCACTGCGTCAATGTCCTGAGATTTCAATCCAGCCTCTTCCAGGGCTTCACGCAACACAGTAAGGACACAAGAACGGTGATGGCGTGCCGTGTCACCTGGAAGGAAACCTAAGAGTGGGACCAAAATGGGGAAAAAGTCATGTGACCATGGGGGACACATTAATTAATCTCCTCCCCCCCCTTCTTTAAATCCAGGAAAAATGCTGAATTCTTTTAGCAAGCAATTCTCCCATAGTCCTTGTAGGCTGGAGTCCTCCAATGATTTCAACTCCCAGGATCCCTTCCTAGCTAGGAATTCTGGGAGTTGAAGTGCAACTAGTAAGCAGGGTTCTGAAGAGCATTAATGGGAAATAGCACAAGATTCCTACCTTGTCCGGGAGGGGTTACATAGGTCCGTCGGGGATTGCTCAGCACTTCCCCATCCTTTACAATCCCAATTCCGATCTTGTTGGCGCTGCCCTCAAAGCCGATCACGACAGGCATCTCTTCCTGGAACAACCCCCCCCCAAAAAAGAAGGTGAAATTTGATTTCTTCCAACAGAAGCCTTGGGGACCTCGGAATCTGCAGTGATCCCTGATCCAGCTGATCACCAGGCATGATTTCCTTGGCACAGGCAGGCAGCAACTTAGCTAACAAGGACAGAAGATTCGTGAGAATGAATCCTTTACCGTCTTACCTGTGATTCTTTCCTCTGCTGCCAGGTCCACCTTCCCCACGTTGCTTATTTCGAAAAGCTCAGGGCAAGCAGGAAAAACACACGTGCAGTAAGAGTATCTTGGAAGGAAAACCCAGCAGCAAAGGAAGGGTTAAACAGGAAGGTTTCTAGAGATACAAAATATGCACCTTACAGCATACACGAGCGGTTTTCATTTGACAGCCTCCACGTGAGGATTAGAAAGTGTTCGGCGTCTTTGGTACTTCCCGAGCTTGATTAATTTCTTGTAGTTGTACACGTTTCATTAACCAACCTAGGTAACATCATCAGTGTTAGTAAGAGGTGGGGGTTTGCTCTCAATTTTTATTCTAGTGACTCACCCTGTAAGTAGAATATAAATTGAGAGTAAACCCCACTCCTTCGTAGAACTGACGATGCAACCTAGTTAGGCAATGAAACGTCTTCAAGAAAACGATCCAAGATAAAAAAAAACACCAAGGAGCCCTCCTTTCAACCTTCAGCTACAAATATATTATCCTTTATTTTCTATGGAGGGTCTCAGTTATCCAGGTTATGGTTGTTCCAAAGGTGCTTTTTTTCCAAGAGGCAAGTGGACTTTCTTGGTTTTTGATTGAAGACGTTTCGCTTCTCATCCAGGAAGCTTCCTCGGTTCTGAACGAATGGCGGGGAATGGAAGGATTTAATGGAAGGAAAGAAGGAAGCAAAAACCAAGGAAGTCCAGTTGCCTTTGGGATTCTCCTTTATTGATTAGACGGTGTCAATTCCAACCTTAGTATTTTTTTTTTTTAGGGAAAAAAAAAAGACTTATTAAATATCCGTATGTAGGATTTTCAGAAAAGAGACCACATTACGGTTTAAAACCTTTTACTTCGCCGCGATCCCCTCTGTGGGTTATTCGATTGGGAACCGAAGGTGTTGGGTGCTTCGGGGTTGGCAGACAAAGTTCCTGGAGTGGTGCTGAAGACGCCTGACGTCACCCGGTCGTTAAACCCCGCCTCCACCCCCGGCACGTGATCTACTTTCTTTCCAAGTGTTCCTTGTTGAACCGAACCCAGCCGTTCCACCAATAGCCTCTGCGGGGCGGTTCCTGGCGCATGAATAAAAAAAGCCCCGCCTCATCCTCTGTCACGTGCTCCTCTCCACTCCACGTGCTCCTTTTTCTCTCCATTCAAGGATTCCTGCGGATTCTCTCCCGGCGGTCTTCGGTGGTTGCAAAGGAAGCATCGCGCCGGTGTGGTGAGAGCCGAACATTGCTTAAATATTGCTTAGTATTGCTTTTTTTTTTTTTTAAATAAGGTTTTTTTTCCTAATTGTATTTCACGCGCAAACGAGCCAGGGCTCGTTTATGTCCCGGCCTTCCGTTTCTTGCATTTGTTTTTTTTAAAAAAATTCCCCTCCCGTGCTTTTAAGAGTGGGGTGGCAGGTAGAAATTCAACAGGAGTAGATTCCAAAGGACGTCTGCATTCTCTTGCGGGGTGGGTGTTGGAAAACAATGCCCCATAGCAAGTTATGAATGCAAAGCGATACTCTCTACCCATGTTCCCCAGCCACGGACCCTTTATGGAGGGAGTGCTTTTGATATTGCAAAAAAACAAAAAACTATTGAGGATACAACGAAAAGAGGTTCAATCAATCAGAATAGAGTTGGAAGGGACCGTAGAGGTCTTCCAGTCCAACCCCTTGCTCAAGCAGGAGACTCTATACCATTTGAGACAAGAAGTTATAGTCTTCTTAAAAAGTCTTTAAAAAGTTTTTTAAAAAGCACCCACAACTTCTGGTGGCAAGCCGTTCCACTGGTTAATTGTCCTCACTGTTGGGAAGTTTGTCCTTAATTCCAAGTTGCTTCCAACCATTGTTTATTGCCCTGTCTTCTGGTGCTTTGGAAAAATAAGTTGACCCCTTTTTCTTTGTGGCGGCCCCTGAAATACTGGAATACCTACCATTAGAAAACATCCTCCTTTTCTCTAGACTAGCCAAACTCAAACCCTGCAGCTGTTCTTCATGTGTTTTAGTCTCCAGGCCTTTAATTATCTTAATTGCCGCTCTCCGCGCTTTTTCCAAAGTCTCAACATCTGTTGAGTACGTGAATCCAGGTTTGCAGTATTCCAGGTGTGGTTTTACTAAGGGTTTATAAAGTGGTAGTAATACTTCACGTACTATTGATTCTATGCCTGTGTTACTTTATTTCACTCTGTCAATTTTAAGAAATGTAAAACACACTGAAAAAAAACCCCTAATTTATCAAAGGCTATTATTTTGGACCTCTTCAAACATTCCAAATGCTGGCTGGAGAATTCTGGGAGTTGAAGTCCACAAGTCTTAAAGCTGCCAAGTTTGAAAACCTCTGCTCCAGCCAGTCTTAAAGCTGCCAAGTTTGAAGACCTCTGGTTTAGACTGTTTAATCACTATGATGTAGGAATTTTTTTCTTCTCTGTATAATCAGTATTTAGTATCCACACTATTCTTTTATTTCACTATTTTGATAAAACAGTACCAAAAGGGAGAAGCTACATGCAAAGCTGTCTTCAAAACTCAGAGAAGAAGGGATATAACATAGTAAATAAATGAAGATTAATACTTTTCAAAGCTGAACTTTCAAATAATTTATAGCCCTAGGAAAGGAGCTTGTGGTACAGAGAAAATAAAATGAGGATTCTTTTGACAAAGCAATCAACTGGCTAAGAGTTAAGAACCAGCATGGGGAAAAAAAATATCCAGTAAATATCTTTTGCAACATAATTGTTACATAGTAAAAGAGAGAAGGAAGATAATGTTCCTATAAGAAATACAGTTTCTTTTTTTTATTTTTGAGTTTCATATGCAAACAATAGGGCCTGCAGTATCATGATTAAAATGTGTGATATCTCGCAAACTGCAATAACAATAATAGAAAATCCTGTGCAAGGGGCTCCAGCATCATCTTTTATCTTCAGGCATGTTGCAATGAAAAGGGGCCAGCCTCTAAGTTCATTTTTTTATTGTTGGGACTCAGAGGCATTCCTAGAAAATTAAAAATGCTACAGCCTGGGATCATGTTTTAAAGCAGGCATGTCCAACACGTGGCCCACAGGACAGCTAATAATACAACCCCATAAGATCATAAAGTTAATCTTAAAGTTGCCAAGGTTGGAGAGCCCTGCTGTAAAGCACTATAGGGAGATACATAAGCACTATTGCTATCGCTACTTGGCAGTGTTAATCTTTTTCCAGGAGACGCTACTGTTGAGAAGCCTAGCGTTGGCCAAACAGTGTAGCCGGCTTCTTCGTCTGAGACACATTTCGGGACCTACAATGCCAAAACGAGAGAAGAAGAACGAAGAACAGATCCTTCCGACAGAGGAGGCAGCCGGTATGGAGCTCAGTCCTAGCATTAAAACGGGGGTTGGTTTGGGAAAGGGAGGTGCCCCTTGTTTTATGCCCATTTTGCATCATCCTTTGGACCCAAGATCCTTCTTGGTGCTCTTTGACCTTCCCAAATCCCTCCTCTTTCTTGAATGGCCTCTCGTTTCCTTCAGCCCTTTTCCTCAACTCATAGGTTGGAGAATTGGCTACATAGGTTTGTCAGAATTGGCTACAGTGAAACCAGGGCTTTTGGTCTCAGTATGATGAGCACCCCCACTCCCTCCACTCCACTACCTATATCTTCTGTCTGATGCTTGAAGTGGAGGAAGGGAGAGAAGAAAATGGAAGGAACCTCTTGGTGTGGATCAAGAAAGTTGTTACATTTCATAGGGGGTAGGACTACATCACTCAAATTTGTTCAGGGCTCAGATCCAGCAGATCACATTAGAGCAATTGATCTGCTTTATGATGTGGGGACTTCAAGTCCCAGAATTCCCCAGACAGCATGCAGGCAGAGGAATTCTGGGAGTTGAAATCCACACATCTTAAAGAAGTTAAGGGTGAGAAACACTGCAGTGTAAGTCAAGCAGGAATTGAGAATGGGAGAACTCGGATCAGGAGAGAATACATCTAGTTCTTGACTTACAACTATTTGTTTAGTGACCATTAGAAGTTACAACAGCACTGAAAACACTGACTGGTTTTTACCCATGGTGACACGATCAAAATTTGAATGCTTGGTTGGTATTTTATGACAGTTGCGCATGTCCCAGAGTGTTCCCCTTTTGCGACGGTCTGACAAGCAAAGTACACGGGGATGCCAGATTCACTTAACAACCATATTAACTAAACAACTGCAGTGATTTACTTAATAACTGTGACAAGAAAAGTTGTAAAACAGGATAAAAACTGTCACTTCACAACTGTCTTGTTTAGCAACATAAATTTTGAGTTCAGTTGTGGTCCTAAATTGAGGACTACCGGTAAAATCCTTTCCCTCTAGTTGTCACCATTGCCCTTTCCCAATCTTGGGTTAGAAGATGACTCTCGTTCTACAAATGAACTAACCATGTCTGTGACCGTCATAAACCTGTGGCCTGAATTTTGATCATGTGACTATGGGGATGCTGCTGCAACTGTTGTAGGTGTGAAAAAAGTCACTTTTTTCAGTGCTGTTGTAATTTTGAACAGTCACTAAATGGACGGTTGTAAGTCGAGGAGTGTTTCCAGTGGAGTTTGATTTTCATCAAAAAAGCAAACACCTGTTCCTCCTCCCTCTAATGTTGTGTCTTGTTTCTCTTTCCCTCAGAACCAGAGCCTAAAAAGGCTATGAAGGATGATGAAAAACAAGAGAAAAAAGAGGCTGACAGTTCAATCTTGTACCAAGATCCTCCTGATAAGCTCACTTCACCCAGTGACAAAAAATATACTTTAAAGGTTACTTCCTGGAATGTGGACGGTATCCGAGCTTGGTTCAAGAAGAAGGGACTGGAGGTAACCCACGAGAGAAAGAGGCTACCATTTTGTTTTTCTTACTGGTTCTTTCCATGTTGGGTGTGACGGCAGTGGTTTTTCCTCTACCCTCCCTCAAAAGTTGGGCAGAGAATGTCATAAAAAGAGAAGCTTTTGCATTTAGACATCACACATCGGTTAAGATAATCTTTATTGTCATTCTTCTGGGTACACAGTGGCACACACTGAAATGAAATTCCGATGCCCACTCTAGAAGGAAAAGAAGGGTTGGGAGGGGAAGGGAAAACACTGTCATCAAACACTGTCACCATCCCTAGGAAAATAGATTGGGAGGATTTGTATTGTAAAAATTCGGCCTAATTGGGATTGACTCTTAATGAAGACAAGTCATTGTAATTTTACAGATGGTCCTCACTTAATAATGCTATTAGGGCTAGAAACGCCGTTGTTAAGCAATACAATCACATGCTCACATTGTTTAGCAACTGTAGTTCTGGTTGTCATTGTTAAGCGAGGACCTCACGTGATTGCGACTTCCTGCCGGCTTCCCCATTGATTTTGCTTGTGGAATTCGGTTTCCCCATTGACTTTGCTTGTCACAAATTGTGATCATGGGACATGGCTGGAACTCCAAGGACTGGTTGCTAATACCATTCTTTCAGTACCAGTGTAAGTTCAAATGGCCACTGAAAAAGTAGTCATTAAACGAGGACCACCTATATTGGCAACAATACTAAATGGAAGCTGTCTGGCAGGTTGATCTTTTGGGTTTTGCCTAAGGCTATCTAATTCTATTATTTTATTTAATTAAATAATATACAGGTAGTCCTTGACTTAACAACAGTTCATTTAGTGATCATTCAAAGTTACAACTTGAATGCATTGAAAAAAGTGACTTATGACTGATTTTCACACGACTGTTGCAGTATTCCCACGGTCATGTGATCAAAATTCAGAAGCTTCGCAACTGATTCATATTTATGACGGTTGCAATGCTCAGGATCCCGGGAAGCTGAATTTCACATATCTGGAGGGGCCTTGTGCTGGGGAAGTCTGTTTGTTGCAATTCATTGTGGATCTCGAATGAAAACAATCTCTGCATTGTTACAGGCCATCCAAAAACAATAATAAAAATACTGTGGGGTAGTAACCAGCAGTGGAGAAGGGAACAGGCAGTCCCCTTGGAGCTACCAGCAGCCAGCTTGGTTGAAGTTATCAAGGCGGCGGTGTTTTTATATCCCCTTCTCTTCGAACAAGCGAGAGGATGCATCTCTTTTACAGTGAGGTCCACAACTGATGTCTCCTCACTAGACAAAACACAGGAGAATGATGGGTTTTTATCTCTCTAATATCTGTCTTGGGAATAGAACGTTGCAAAGGATTTTTAGTCTTCCCAAATCAACCAAAGGTTAGGAAGAAATATTTGTAAAAAGAATTTCAGACTGTCCGGTTGGATAATTCTCTGAAAACACAACAGGATCTCCCATCCCCCTTTCTCTTGTGACATTGTAGAGTTTCATTTGTGTGGCCTTCGTTTAATTGTAAGTTTCTCAAGGACGCTGGCAAAAGAAAGGGTCATACAGTTGTGGAGTTAACTCCCTTCTTTGCAAAGAAGGCCAGTTTAAAAATTATTTCTCAGTATTAGTCTGTTAATGGTATACGAGTAATCCTCGATTTACAGCCACAACTGAGACCCATGTCTCTAAGTGAGACATTCGTTAAGTTAGTTTTACTCGCATTTTACGGCTTTTCTTGCCACGGTTGTTAAGTGAATCTGGCTTTCCCATGGACTTTTGCTTGTCAGAAAGTCCCCAAAGGGGAATCACTATGGCCCTGGGACAATATGACTGTCATATGAGTCAGTTGACAAATGTCTGAATTTTGATCACATGACCCAGAGGAATGCTGAAATAAGTGTGAAAAACAGCCATAAGTCACTTTTTTCCAGTGCTGGTGTAACTTAGAATAGAATACAGCTGGAAGGGACCTTGGAGGTCTTCTAGTCCAGCCCACTGCTCAAGCAGGAGAACCTATACTATTTCAGATAAGTGACTTGTCTAGACTCTTCTTAAAAATATCCAGTGATGGAGCACCCACGATTTCTGGAGTGAAGCTGTTCCACTGGTTAATTGTCCTCACTGAACTTCGAATGTTCACTAAGAAGTGTAAAATTTCGGTGACTGTATTAGCTCACTACCTTTTATGTTCCATCCAGTTAGTAACATCGGTTAGCAGGTTCAAACCTTACCCTCTTTGGGAGATTCTGTTAACCTCTTTTAATCTGCAAAGTTCATTTTTTAACGAAGAGGTAACGGCTGTCAAGAGATGTCAAAAATTTATTATTTTATATTAATTGTATTTCATTTCATTTTATTCCCTGCAGTGGGTGAAGGAAGAAGACCCCGATGTGCTCTGCTTACAGGAAACTAAATGCGCAGAGAGGCATTTGCCAGCTGACATTCAAGGACTACCTGAATACCCCCATAAATTTTGGGCTTGCTCTAACGACAAGGAAGGCTACAGTGGCGTGGCCATGCTCTCCAAGAACAAGCCTACGGATGTCACCTATGGCATAGGTAAGGACTTCTCCATCCTTATTTTAGGAAATTAGTTCTTCTTAGACTGGTGAAAAAGCAAGCTCCTCAGATTGCTCTCCAATAAAAGGGCTTTCGCAGGTGGCTGGGCCTATTGTAGATACTGTTTTGTAAGAACATCTGTGCCACGTTCTACAGCAGGGGTGTCAAATTCAAGGCCCACAGGCCAGATATGGCCCACAGGGTGCTTAGATCTGGGATGGCCCAGAAACAGCGGACCAGCCTGCGGTGCCTCTATCAGCGAAAACAGAGCCCGGGCGGGCCGCATGTGGTCTCCCCTGTTTCCGTTTTTGCTGACAGAGGGCTGCAAGAGGCCATTGCGGCCGAAAACGGAACCTCGATGAGTGATTGGATGTGGAGCTGGCCATGCCCAACCTGGCCATACAAACACACATCGAGGACAAACACAGCCCTGATGCGGCCCTCAGTGAAATCGAGTTTGACACCACCTGTTCTACAGGTTCTCAAAAGGTTGAACTGCCATCAGACTTCCCAGGTAAGACCGCGCAGGAAACAGGCCTAGTAGATGAGCTAATGTAACTTATAAGGCTACATTAACAGAATCTTCCAAATCTGAACATGCAAATCTGCCACCGTCTCTTTTTACAGAGTGGTAACTTAGGCAGAATCCTTCTGAGTTTTGTTCTCTGTCCCTTAGGCGTCTGGTGGTTGTCCCCTCCCAATTTACCAATCCCGATTGTTCCCTAGGTAGCATCTTTCTCCACTTTCCCTTGAGCCATGGACAGACACCCTGATATTTTCCTGTAGAATTTATTGGTAAAATTAAGAATTTATAATTCTGTCGATATTGGTAAGATGTCCTCATCTGGTCCAGCAAAGCAGACCCAAACTATGCTAAGTTTCGTGGTGGCACAAAAGATCGTGCCACCACGATCTTTCACAAACTGGATAAAATTCTTTGGATGCGGGGACACCATCATAAATGTGAGTCAGTTGCCAAGCGTCTGAATTTTGATCACGTGACCATGGGGATGTGTGTGAAAAAGCGGTCGTAAGTCACTTTTTTCTTCCTGTGATCCAATTTCAGACGCTTGGCAACTGGTTCATACTTACGACTGTTGCCGCGTCCCAAGGTCATGTGAATCCCCCTTCTGACAAGCAAAGTCAGTGGAGAAGCCAGATTCACTTAACAACCGGGTTACTAACTTATCAACTGCAGTGATTCACTTAACAAATGTACCCAACAAATGTCTCCATTAACAACAGCAACTTTGTAGCTCAATTGTGATCATACGTCCAGGACTACTTATAATGGAAAGCTGGGGAGTTCTCAGGTGGACGACGCCTGACTGGGAAAGGCTGGAACATTTTCTTGCTCTGATTGTGCTTGTACAAAATCAACATTGCCCTTCGGTCTTTCTTCTGCATTGTTGCTACAGGTGATGAAGAGCATGATAAAGAAGGCCGGGTGATCACAGCCGAGTTCCCCAACTACTTTCTGGTGACCGCCTATGTCCCCAACGCCGGTCGGGGACTGGTGCGCCTGGAATACCGCCAACGTTGGGATGGAGCCTTCCGCTCTTACCTGGAAGGCCTGGCTGCCCGCAAGCCCCTTATCCTGTGTGGAGATCTCAACGTAGCCCACCAGGAGATCGATCTGAAGAACCCCAAGGGGAATAAGAAGAGTGCTGGCTTCACTCCAGAAGAGCGGGCTGGTTTCACCCAATTGCTGGAAGCTGGCTTTGTCGACACTTTCCGACATCTCTACCCCGATACCCCCAATGCCTATACTTTCTGGACATATATGATGAACGCCCGGGCTAAGAATGTGGGATGGCGGCTTGACTACTTTGTGGTCTCCAAAGGGCTTCTGGAAGGGTTGTGTGACAGCAAGATCCGCTCCTCAGTCTTGGGGAGTGACCACTGCCCCATCACCCTCTATGTCGCCATGTAACACATGCAGATGAAGGCCCAAACCTATACAGCTTGAGTGGGAAAAGAAAATTGGAGCTAAAATTATGTCTATGACTACTCAACCCTAATTTTAGAGCAGTGTTTTTCAACCGTGACAGCTTTCGGGCTTATGGACTTCAACAAGCTTGTGGACTTCAACAAGCTTGTGGCTGACGGGGGAATTCTGGGGGTTGAAGTCCATACGTCTTAAGGTCACCAAGGTTGAGAAACACTGCTCCAGAGTCAGGATCTGAATCCCTTTCCAGTCTCATCCCAGGCTGCTAATAGGTTTCCACAACGTAAAAATATTTCTTTCAAAAGGTGTGTGGCTACTTTGGGGTTAACAGGAAATAAAAGCCTTGGTTTTTAGTTCCTCTGCCTGCTCAAGTTCTACAGAGGAAGATGGCTTAAAACGGGTGGGGAAGATAGCTTCCACCCACCTTGCTCTGGTCCCACCTTTTAAGCCAGAAGTGGGAAAATATGGCCATTTTAAGACCTGTGGACTTCAACTCCCAGAATTCCTGAGCCATCATAGCTGCCTCAGAAATTCTGGGAGTTGAAGTCCATAAGTCATAAAGAGGCCATATTTTCTCACTTCTGGCTTAAAAGGTGGGACCAGAGCAAGGTGGGTGGAAGCTATCTCAGATTCCTGAGATAGCAAGGAACACACTGGAGTCTTTTGTTTTCTAGCATTTGCAGCAAAAAAAAAAAAAAGAAAAAGAAGCTAGGCTAAGTGGGGGCGTTACTCCACTGCTATTGTTCTCCAGATGTTAGCCGTGTCTTCCTTATTTTGAGTATTGCCCCTCATTAAAGAGTAGCCTTCCCTCCTCACCTTTCCTCTCCCCCCCTCGCTGTTTTGGGTGTAATTCACCGAGATTTATTTTGATATCCCAGAAAACATTAAACTTCCTGTTTATAAAATAAAAATCAACCAACCTTGTCTAATTTTCTATCTGGAATGCTATCCTTTAGCAATTTCAGTGTGGCCTCTTAAGCAATGACTTCCTTTAGCTTTCAACTTTATCCCCACCTGATGGTCAAAGTAGTACGGAAGAATTTCCCGCCCGAGTTGGTTTTCACACTGACTTTGGTAGTTACCTATTCTATTCTTCACAACTGTCTTTTTATTTCCAATAATGGAAAGCTGGCAGGTCATTATTTCCCTTCAACCTACATGTACATTTGTGTGCATCTATTTGCTTAAAGATAAAGCTTTCCACGGTCCAGTCGTGTCCAACTATTGGGTGATGCTCATGTCCATTTCCTAGCTTGGAAACCAGCATTGTCTGAAGATGCTTCCATAGTCATGTAGCCAGCATGATTATATACAGAGGAGCATTGAATGCTGATACATTTTCACTGAAGTGGCACCTGTTTTATCTATTCGCATTTGCATGCTTTTGAACCATTACCATGTTTTCCGAAAAATAAGACCTGGTCTATTAATTTTTGCTCCAAGACGTCTTAGGGATTATTTTCCAGTTAGTCTTATTTTGGGGGAAATACGGTACTAAAATGCATCTGTCTGGTTAACGATCTTAACTGGAGCTTATTTTTGGGATAGGATATATATTATGAACATCCGGAAAAAATCAAGCTAGGGCTTATTTTCCAGTTGGGTCTTATTTTGGGGGAAACATGGTAGGTGGGCAGGAGCTGGGACAAGGATGGGAGTTTACGTCGCACAGCACTTTGCTCTTAAACCCAGGCCATCCAGTTGCCAAGCTCAGCATCTTTAACCACTAAGCCATTGCACCTCCTTACCCATTTGCTTAATACTGGCTAAAGTTCTCATTTCTGTATCTGGACAGTTGGAAGCCACCTATAGGAAAAACTCTGGTGACGTAGTGGTTAGAATGCAGTATTTCATGCTAATTCCGCCAACTGCCAGCAGTCCGATCCTGACAAGCTCAAGGTTGACTCAGCCTTCCATCCTTCAAAGGTCGATAAAATAAGGACCCAGATTCTTGGGGGCGATATGCTGACTCCTGCTTAAGAGAGGGCTTTAAAGCACCGTGAAGCGGTATGTTATTGTATTGCTAAAAAATGCCTCAAAACATTTCCACAAAGCACCTCAGCCTGTGCTAAATATTCCCCATTTCAAGTTAAGCTGATTTGCCTATGAGTTGCTCTTTACCTTAAAAAGAAACCAAGCTCAGTAAGTGTATTCTTAGGGATCACTTTCCAGGGGAGGCAACCTGGGAAGGGTCCTTTGTTGCCCAAGCCCACCTGGGAAGAATGTCTAAAATTCAGCGAGAAATCAGCAATATAAGATGTGAAACAAATCAACCCCATTGGAGCCCATCTGACATGTCTTGGTTGTCCAAGTCCCATGTTTTTAACCTGACATATCTGCAGCAAGGATGGGATTAACCTTTGCAAGATAATTACTCTCGCACGTACATCCAAGGTGAAACAAGGATTAGTGGAAGACTTGGTGGATCAAGGAGAAGGTATCAGAGCTACATGTGATTCATGTCAATGAACCTTGCTGACAGAATGATTGGATTAAATTACACAAATAATTTTTTAATATGTAAAAGATTTGTTCGGAAGCCCATTTTAAACAACTCTTCAGGAATTTCCTCCAACTGAAGTACATTTAATCAACTCTTAATGAATTTCCTTCCTTAACCGAAGGACATTCAGTTGAAATCAACTCTTAATTGAAGGAATTCCCTTAATTGGAGGAAATAAACCTTGTTCCCCTTAAGGTGAGTCATTCTGAGAAACCGCAGATTCCTCTCCAGTCAAGTCAGATATGCAATAGTGACGTTTTATTTATTTACAATCATCCAATTGTGCCTGTGGAAGAGAAGGAAAAGGACAACAGACATGTTCAATCATGGCTGAAAAAGAGACAGACATACGGTGCAAGCACATAAGGCAGGCAAGCAGGCAGCCAACACGGAGAAGTTATCTTAAATAGTTCTATGTACATTTTACTCCTTATATACAAGCTGCAACAGGCTTGAGGCTATAAGCTCGATGCCACGAAGGTGGGAGAATTAAAATCTTGAGGCCAAGGAGGAAGGAGGGGAGAGGACTAGCACTGAGAAAAATCAAGCCAGGTTCGCACCAGGATTGAGATATTTCCCTAAGCGGAATGTCTTTGCTTGCATGACTCGGGGAGTCCTTTCCTCTCTATGACAAGAGTGCATGCACCATTTTCCTCCCCCTTCGGTCTATGTCATCAACTAGTAATACAAAAGAAGAGAAGAAAATCTGATTTAGTAGGCTCTGGAAGAAGATAGTTCTGCGCCTCAAGTCAAGGTTGAGATAAATCTCCCCTCCCAGCTCTCAATCAACTGCGGGTGGTGTTGGCCAGCAGTTCTCCCTTCAACCTTTCGAACAAAAACAACAAATACCGTAGCCATGGTTAGAAAGGGCTCTTTAAAGAGAGAGAGAGAGACATGATGGTTCCCAAGGCTGCTCTCATCTCGCCCCATCCAGAGTTTGGATTGTTGGAGAAGAAACGGGGAAGTAGCTCCTTCGAGGAATGTGCAAAGATTAAGAAAACGATAAGAGATGAGTCCCACAGTTAACAAAGCTAAACTTCTTTAGCGGAAGACCTCTGGATCTCACACTGTAGATCACAGAAAGGGGGAGGTAAGGGCTGAAATTCATTAAACAAGCATCTGGACCAATCCCGGGGCTGTGGTACTAGCCTTTATGGAACGGGCTTTCTCTCATTCCCCGGGGCCCCCATTCACATTTTGAGGATTGTGGAAACTGCTTCGATCCTCGAAACCTTGCAGCTTTTAGCTACCCCCCACATTACAGACCACAGGATGAGAAAAAAAAAACAAGGAAAAAAAAAAAAACCAATACAGCAGCGATTTCTTTTGCCTTCCCCTCTCGACCAGGAAAAATTTTTTTAAGCAACCTCCGATGGGAGCTGAGAACAGAGTCCTGAAAACACCCATTTTTGTGAAGTGCCCCCGCTGAAGAATTGTAGTGTAATCTCAAGGGGTATCCGCTGTTTGGGCTGGGTCATCTCCAAACGTCACCGCAACAGCCGCCGGTGGTTTGATGCCAAACCATCTCAGCTGCGTTCAAGTTTTTTTCTTTTGGGAACGATTAGTGTTCTGTTAACTTGCAGGATCCATAGGAACTTCGCCTACCCCACCCCCGCCTGCCAGGGATAGCAGAACCCAGCAGAACTGGATCTTCGGCTCCTTTGGAGTCAAATTGTACTTTCTTTTGCCATCAATCCTGGCTCAGAGCAACAGAGATGGAAGAAGACTGGTAGATATCAGGGTTGTCCCATAGTTACTCAGATGACGACGCCGGGAGCGGGCACAGCAAGAAGGTGGCACGGCAGACCCAACTTCAAATGGAAGCGGAGGGGAAAAGACGGGCTCTGGGTCCCCGGGTATGAGGTGGTGGAGCAGCAGTGGGAAATGATGAAGACCTTGAAGCGGCTCACGAGAAGTTCTGGATAGGGTGGCTGACTCTCATACAAGCCCAGTACATACCTCGGCCAAGGAAAACCAAAGACAGGAAAATCACCACAGCCCAGGCAGCATAGACACCCCTGTACTGCTGGGCTTGTTTCCAGGTACCAAACTAGAGAATGAAAGAAGAGTCAGAAATCAGCTTCACAATAAAACGGCTTCATAGATTTAATGTGAAAGAGAAAGATAAGGGTGTATCTGTGTGTTCAATAGACCTTTGGGTTCAGCAACCTTTTGTGTTCCCGCCTGAACCACGAAACGTCTCCAATTTTGACTCCCAACTGCTGAAGGTTGTGATGGTAAACTTGATATCTTACATGCATAATCCCTCCCTCCTTTTTTTTACCCTATTTTTTTTTATCCTTATTTGTACCCTATGACTATCGTTAAGTGTTGTACCTTATGATTCTTGATGAACTTATCTTTTCTTTTATGTACACTGAGAGCATATGCACCAAAGACAAATTCCTTGTGGGTCCAGTCGCACTTAGGCAATACAAAATTCTATTCTGTTCTGTTCTGTTTAATAATCAGAATGGACCTATATAGAGAGGAGTTGTCTTTAAGATTCAGCCTCCTGGAACTGGATTCTGAATAGGGAGAGAAGCTGTTCCTACTAAACTTTATTGCTTCTTTTCCTTTCAAGAGAGACCTTGGACAGATGCTCCACCTGTACTTCAGGTAGTCCTCGACTTACAACAGTTCCTTCTGCTGGTTGAAGTTGCGGTATAGAAAATTACAACTGCACTGAAAAAAGTGACTTATATTTTTCACACTTATGACCGTGGCAGCATCCCCAAATGAAAATCCATGTGATTTACAGAAAGGATCATATGACCCTGAACACTGTAACTGTCATAAACACGAAGCACTGCTTCATTTTTATGACGGTCGCAGTGTTCCCCAGTGCAGTGTGAACTTCTGACAAACAAAATCAATGAGGAAGCCAGATTCACCTAGCAACCATTTTACTTATTTTGTAACGGAAGTGATCCGCTTAACAAACGTGGCAAAAAAAGTCGTAAAATGGGACGAAACTCACCTAACAAATTTCTCACGTAGCAACATAAATTTTGGGCTCAACTGTTGTGGCCGTACAGGTCGAGGACTACCTGTATTCAGGACCTTTAGATTGGTTTCCTCTTTAATATTAACATTGTTTTTGTTATTTTGGATAAATGTTTGCATAATGAATTGGTACGTAAGGGTTCCTTTAGAAAAAGGAGGGTGGCCAGGAGAAGGAAATATTCCTTGAGTTTTAAAGTGGGAATGTGGGAATTGCAAAAAACTTGTCATAAAAGAGTCACTGTTCCCCACCCCTGTGCTAAATAAATAAATAGCTGTCATTTCAAACCGGACACTAATTTAGGCATGAGCCTAAAGGGGGCAGAGCTGTGCTGCTTAAAAGCTTCTAGATATCTACTATTGAATAGTTTTCATTTCATATACTGAGTGCCATGTTCAGTTGTCTCCCTGTTAAGGGAGAAAGTGGCCTCAAATCAAGACTAACTTTGGACACGTACCTGTAGGCTTTTTGGCAGCAAGATCGATGGAGTTTTGCTCTCTTATGTTCTTCCAATTTTTTAACCTTCTCATGCCAAAGCCCTGGGATTTCCAGATTATCAACCAGACATGGCCGTCTTTAATGGTCTCATCCTAATCTCATCCTTTTGAGACCCCCAACATGTGCCACCCCCAACCCTAGCTAGATGCCTCTCGCTAGACTCACCGCCAACCCAGTTGCTGTCACGGCCATCAGCACGCCCAACAGAAGACAGCATAAGCACCTTTTCCTCGGATAGCGGCGCCCGATGGAAGAGCTGGGGGTACAAAAAGTGGCAAGGGAAGTACATCAAGCATCCAGAGAGTCTCTCCCACAAAGTTCCTCTCGCCTCCCATAATTTGGAGCACTGGCAGAGAAAGAGGCCTTGCCTATCAAGGACAAGCAGAAGACCTCTTCTCCAGCAAGGGGGGGTGGGGTGGAGGATGGGGACTCAGCTTCCTCACTCTCTTTGAAGCTGAACCTCACAAACAGCAAGTTCCCTCCCACATGGTATGTTCAATGGTAACTTGGGAGAACATTTATGTGAATGCTTCTCCTCCTTGCTCAATTCCTTCCCCAGAGTAACTCACACTTTACGGCAGTGCGGGCATCGGGCTAAAGTGCGATCGGTGAATTCTGTCCACTGGAGAGACAAAAAAAGAGAGAAAGGCTTAGGAAGGAAGAGAAGGGAAGCCTGACCCGAGTCATTTTTCGCTGCTGCAAATAGGCTCATTTTTAAGGAGTCGCGCTCAGCTGCTCCTCTAAATAGCAATAGCACTTAAGACTTATATACCTCTTCACAGTGCTTTACAGCCCTCTCTAAGCAGTTTACAGAATCAGCCGATTGCCCCCAACAATCTGGGTCTTCATTTGACCCACCTTGGAAGGACGGAAGGCTGAGTCAACCTTGAGCCTGGTGAGATTTGAACTGCCAAATTGCAGGCAGCCGGCAGACTGCAGTACTGCATTCTAACCACTGCGCCATTGCAGCCATCCTCAATTTACAACAGTTCCTTTAGTGACTGTTGGAAGTTACACCACCACGGGAAAAAATGACTTATGATTGTTTTTCACACTTATGACCGTCCCCATGGTCAAGTGATCAAAATTTGGATGGTTGACAATTGGTTCCTATTTGTGACGGCTGCAGTTTCCCGGGGCCATGTGATCCCCTTTTGGGACCTTCTGACAAGTAAAGTCCATGGGGAAGCCAGATTCACTTAACAACCGTGTAACTAACTTAATGACTGCAGGGATTCATTTAACAAACGAGACAAGAAAAGTAGTAAAATGGGGCAAAACTCGCATAGCGATATGGGTTTTGGGCTCAATTGCGATCATAAGGGGAGGACTGACTACTTGTAGCTGATTTGTTACTGAAGTCCACTCATGTGGAGATATTCGCAGGGGAGAGTCCAATTTGTGTCAATTTCAAAGGATGCAAGCAACCTCAGCCAATTGAATTGTGTTTTTCTATCCACTTTGCACTTCCAAGGCCAGTTCCCAACAAGACTGCCTTAAAGGTAAAAGGTAAAGGCATATGTGCTAGTTGTTCCTGACTCTAGGGGGCAGTGCTCATCTCCGTTTCAAAGCCAAAGAGCCAGTGCTGTCCAAAGACGTCTCCGTGGTCATGTGGTTAGCATGACTAAACGCCAAAGGCACACGGAGCACTGCTACCTTCCCACCAAAGGTGGTCTCTATTTTTCTACTTGCATTTTTTACATGCTTTCAAACTGCTAGGTTGGCAGAAGCTGGGACAAGTAACGGGAGCTCACCCCATTACGCAACACTAGGGATTCGAACTGCTGAACAGCCGACCTTTCGTCGACAAGCTCAGTGTCTTAGCCAAATCAGAATTTTTAAGTTTATAATTTTCTTCCGATAACAGGTCTCCAAACACCACCCAAACCTGAGCCTGGAACAAATAGGCCTCATTTCTTTCCCCCAATCCCTTCCTCCACAGCACCCTTACCAGGAAATTATTTTCGCAGTGGCCGCAATTGACACGCACACCTGTGGGCTGAGGCTCGGGACTCGGAGGGCCAGGGTGAACGGGCCCTAAATTTATGACCCTTTTACTGGGTAGAAAACAGAGGGAGAAAAGAGGTTTAGATTATTCTTCTTGTCAGTCCACCTGGCCCCACTGAACACCTACTTTCAAGCCAGTGAAACTCCACCCCTTTGCCATCATGGAGAATAAAGTTGACTTTGCATTTAAACATTTTCCTGTAATTTTTTTTTTTTAATTCAGGTCCAAACCTGGCATGCACAGCTAATCTCCCACATTCAAAGAAAGCCCTTCAACATGCCAATGTCTGGGTTTTTTCTATTAGTCTTTCTGGTTTGATCAGGGCAACTGCTGTTTTTATTATCTAAACATAAACACCCTCTTCCAGGAACAAACAAAACAAAACAAAATCCAAATTGCAAAGGCAGAGGGAGAATCCCCCTTTCCTTCTCTTTCTGGGCACCTTTTTTCCTCTACAAATGCCAAGTTGTTAGCTTGATTACTCCAATTTGTATCTTTGCTTTCTAGTTCTTTCTTCAGAAAACAGAATCCTACGCACATTGTTGGATCACAGCACCTCCCCAATATGCTTATTCCTTCCCACCTTTCTAAAAAGATTTCAGGATTCAAAATATTCAGGATTCTAAATATCTCTCTCTCACACACACACCACTTTTCTCCAAACACATCAGGGTTTTGCACTCAAGAAGAAATAAGCCCTTCCTTCATGAATGCAAAACTTTGATGTGTTCTTCTTCCACGCTTGGAGGCATAGATCATTAAGCCCAATAGTTTTGGGAAAGTGCTGTATTTATAACGGTGTGAAAATAGACCCATTTTTTGAACTGGATGCCTTTCTAATACCGAATAACAGAGTTGGAAGGGACCTTGGAGGTCTTTTAGTCCAACTCCCTGCTCGAACAGGAGACTATTGAGATGAGCAGCCTATAGAAATTGAATAAATACAAATAAATAAAAAATGGTTGCCGTACAAAACTGTAAACCAGATTTTTTTTTCTAAATACAAGGTAATTGTGTACATTCTTCTACTTCTTTTCCTGACCTGCCTAGTTTCTATTGAATGTTGTTAAACCTCGTATTTTTACAATATTTGCCAAAATATCTTTTAAGTATGCGCGAAGCTGCTAGGATGGTCTGCATTTGCAGTTGGAAAGTAACGTACAATTCCTTCAGTAGGAGAATGTACATAATTACCTTGCATTTGGAAAATAAATCTGGCTTGCAATTTTGTACAGCAACCATTTTTTTATTTACTGTATTTTTCGGAGAATAAGACACACCGGAATATAAGACACATCTTAGTTTTTGGGGAGGAAAATAGGGAAAAAAAAATTCTGCCTACCAGGTATTCATCTGGCTAGCGTCCTTAGCCTGGTCAGCTTCAGCACATTAGTTCGCTGATTTTGAGCGGGCGCACGCTCCATTCGCTCACATGCGCCTGGTTGGGGCTAAAAAACAGGTTCTAAAGCACAGCGGTTAATCGGAGGGAGCTCCAGTGATTAATGCAGGTGAAGCACGGAAGGGTAAGAGAAGACAGCAGCTGTTCCGGGTAGCCATTTTGGCCTATGCGCATCGCGTTTTCAGCCTCCAAATGCGTCGCATTTTCAGACAGCGATGTGCTTTGGTGATTCCCACAGCCTTGAAGGCTCTCAAACAGAGCATTTGGAGGCTGAAAACGCAATGCGCGGAGCCCAAAAACACAAGCCATTGTCGGTGGCAATCTCTGCAGGCAGGAAGAGGACACGCGGAGGCCAAAGGGTGGGCGGGATTACATTCAGAGTATAAGATGCACCCAATTTTCAGCCTCTTTTTTTTGGGAGGGGGGATGCATCTTACACTCCGAAAAATACAGTATTCATTATTTATTCAATTTCTACAGGATGTTCATTTCAGTGGTCTCCTGTCTGAGCAGGGAGTTGGACCGGAAGACCTTCAAGATCCATTCCAACTCCGTTATTCTGTATTCTAAAGGCACCCAATTACAGCCCTTGGAGCAATGTTGTTCAACCTTGGCAACTTGAAGATGTGTGGACTTCAACTCCCAGAAGCCCTGGCTAGGGAATTCTGGGAGTTGAAGTCCTTACATCCTCAAGTTGCCCAGGAAGGTTGAAAAACACTGCTCTGGAGGGCAGCCATTTGTCCAGAACAGTATAGGGTCTCCTGCTTGAGCAGCGGGGTTAGACTAGACGACCTCCAAGGGTCCTTCCAATTCAATGGGCAGCTCACAATTTTTGGATTATAATTCTAGCTATAGTCTTTCTCTACATCTGAAATTAGGGCCGTATAACTTTTAACATTTAAGTCATGATTTGTTAAGTAAGGATATACATTTCTTAGGGATTAGGTAAGACTTTTATCTTATATTTTATGTCATGATGATATTAACGTTGATTCTAATTGATACTGTTGTTGATACAAATATATTTACTTTATTTTAATAATGATCTGTAGTTTTAAAATGGCATAAGTTATTTAAGTGTGTAGAAGTCAGTTCATTATTCAGAGAACCTGTACTTAATTTATCTAGCTTTATGTATATTTATGTGAGCCACCACAAGTAATTTGTGATTATGAAAGCATACAAATATATTGAATTAACAAATACACATAAATATCTCTTATTTCCTTTGCGATTTTATTTTTTCCTCTTCTTGCTTCTGTTTTTGATTCAATATCAAAACAACCTGAAGAATGTAACTAGATAATTCCCTTCCCCACCCCTTACCAATATATCCGTGGACAGGCAATGCGTTGTGAGGTCACTTTACAGATCAAAAGACAGTTGCAAGGGCATCTGACATACTTCTTACCAGGTGGGGCATTTTTAATCGGCTATAGAAGGGGAAAAAAAACATTTTTGAAAGTTAAACAAGTTGAACATGTTTCCTGGTTTAAGAAGAGAAAAGGTCACAAGAGGGCAAAGAATCCAATCCATCTGTCAGGCATTGAACCAAGATTACTAGTGACACCTTCCTTCACCACAATGTATCTGTAAATATTTAAACTGAATATGTATTTAAAAAGTAAACAGGCAGCCAACAGGTGCGGTGGAGAAGACAACAGGTTTAAATCTTTTGGCAAAATTGGGAAAATAATTTAGAAAATAATTTGTGATTTCTTTTCCTGAAGAAAGCACAGGACATCCTATCAAAATTCAGTCGCAAATAAGTAACAAATGTACATTTTTCTGTGTTATCTTTATTTTTCATAGCTTAAAAAGTTAGGTATTAAGTGTTGTGCTAGAATCATGCTCAAGAAGCTGAGCTACTGCTAATCTGAATAAGAAAAGCTGGGCTAGATATACCTAACCTTGGATAAAGTGTACATTTCTGGAAACAGGGTAACAAAAATGTGGTATTCAGAAGACACCTATTTTTCACCAAGAAAAAAAAAAGTATTTTTTCAGTCAGAGGGCTTCTTTTGTTCAAAGCCTTTATTGTCATTGTACATCATGTATACAACGAAATTGGTTTATTGGCTTCCAATATAAAACATAAAAGCAGCAGAAGGGAAGAATGACAATGTGGAAAGGGTAGGGCCCTTCTCAAACATGTCTGATTTTCATTGCAATCTTAACAGGTAAGTTCCTTATGTCAAAGGTAACTCTGGGGGGTGGGGGGGGAGATAAGGCACAACTGATAACTGCACATTGAACACCTAGCAAATCTAAAGTCGTATCTTGAACTCTAAAAGAAATTCATTTATTTTTTAAGCTTCTGTCTGTTCATGATGCCTTATTCTGAGAAGCTAAGATAAAAAGGCTTCCGAACAAGCTTATATGGGAAGCGAAAGAGAAAACATCAGAGTGAAATTCAGGATAATATTTTCTCAAACAAGTCAAAACTATTGAATTGGATTTTAAATTATTGAGGGGATCCGAGCAACTATTTAGACTTTCAAGTTTTGTGCTATCTGCAGCTGCAGGAACTGAAGATGTTGCAAATTGACAAAGCTAATTTTTAGGTTTATATTTTCAGAAGACTGAGAAACCAGTAACAGAAAAGAAACCTGAACAGGAAATGAGTTCTAGTACAAGTTCCCAGTTTTAGAGGAAGCTTTTTCTTCCACAGAATATTTTGTGCCTGAAGCGTTCTATGTTGTCGACATATCTTGATAGCAACCTTTAAGGCAGGGGTATTTTAGGAACTCCCCAAGTGGGACAGTTTGCCATGAACTCTGGGGAGGGTGGATGGGAGGAAGGCTGCCTGAAGGGGGAAAATGAAAGTTTTGACTGCTGTTATCTCCCTGAGATGCGGCTTCAGGGTCACCCAGCTGGGAGGAGAACCCAGCTGCATTCCAACCTACGCATGAAGTGGCTGTTTTGAAAACATCTTGCTTCAATGTGATTTTGGGAAAGGGGGGGAGGGGAAGCAATGGGAGGCAGTTAATGGAGGAAAAAGTTGAAGCTAGGGATTTTGGTGGCGGGATTTTCGGTTCTGGCCGTGCATTACTGCAATATACTTGATAAAATTATACCTTTCTCAATAAATGGAGCCAAGGATCGTTTCTATTTAGAGGTTTAAGTGCTGGCAGGATTAAGACAAAATACCGCAACTTCAACCAGCAGAAGAACCATCTCTAAATATTTCCAATGAAATCTAACAGGAACAACTCTTTAGAAAGCGTGCGGAATAGAATAGAACAGCAAGGCTAAAGACAGAAATGCATTTAAGCCCTAAATGTTCCTTTTAGGGGTTATAACTCCTAGATGCCTTAACAACTTCATGGATAGTGGAAAGGAGTCCAGAGATCCTTCTTTACCCATAAGAATAAAAAAGCTCCTCAAAGTTTGTCCAATCCAATAGTCCAGGAATTTGACAAGCAGATGCAGTGTTTTAGCTCCTGAGCTTGCCCAAGTGGTCCTTGATTTATGATTACTTATTTAGCGATTGTTCCAAGTTACGGTGGTGCTGAAACAAAGGGACTTATGATCAGTTCTTGCATTTATGACCACTGAAATGTCCCAGAACTCACATGATCAAAATTTAGACAGTTGGCAACTAGCACGTATTTATAATAGATGCAGCATCCCAAGGTCATATAATAGCCATTTCTGACCTTCCCAGCTGGCTTCTTATAAGCAAAATCAATGGGAAAAGCTGGATTCACTCAAAAACTAAGCGATTCACTTAACCATGGTAACTTGCTTAATGACCACAGTAACAAAGCTTGTAAAATTGGGCATGACTTGCATAACCCACTTAGTGACAGAGATTCTCACTTAGTGACAGAGATTCCAGTTCCAACCATGGTCATAAGTCAAGGACTACCTGTAATGATACCATCAGTTTCCTATTGTTGGCTCTACCCAGCACTTCTTCCTCAAATAAACCTCTCATCATGGATAAATTCCTCCTCTATAATTGGTGTATTTGTTTTTAACTATTTAAAGGAGTAACAAGCACATTCCATCCAGGGGCATACATTAATTGTGTTGTGTGCAAAAATGTGTTACATTCATTTCGAATTTCCTATGTCGATTTCACTGAAAGACTTCAACTTTTAATAATGACAGGGGAGAGGAATATGCACCGAGACAAATTCCTTGTGTGTCCAATCACACTTGGCCAATAAAAAATTCTATTCTAATAAAAAATTCTATTCTAATAAAAAATTCTATTCTAATTAAGGCAAAGAAAAAAAAAGGCCCAAATTGTTTTTTCTCAACCAAAATAAACAAGAACCTACACATTGTTCACTGAGATAATGTACAGGATAAATTTCAGGGATTAAAAAAAAAGCCCTGTTCCAATCGAACTTCTAATGTAAAGAAAGGCACCATAAAAACTTTCATATGAGTCTAGTTCAAATGAGTTCAGATGAACAATATCTTCACCACAACCAAATCAACCCAACAAAACACTACGCTACAATAAAGTATTATCCCAGCTAAAGGAGAAAACCAATATAATCCTTTTAGGAGGAAACATAAATGAAGAAAAGAAAAAAAGAGGAATCCTTTTAATGAATGGCCTTGTGCAGTCAGGCCACAGATCTAGCTTGCTCAGTATTGACTATGCTGACTTGAGCGCCAACAGTTCTCAAGGGACTGCCTGAAAGCTAACACAAGTACTCCATCGGCAAGCCATGTCAGCAGATTTGCAGTGGTGACTTACTCTTTTGCAATCCAGGGTGGGTTTTTTAAGGAAATCATCCACACTATGTTAAAAAAAAAAACTACATATTTGTAACAACTGGCGAGAACTATAGGAATATAAGCCTCCCTTTGTCTTATGACTAGCTTTATTGTATGATTGTAGCATCTGGCAGGAGGCCAGAGTTTTGCTGTTGTGGAATTGAGCTGAAGGTAACCAAGCAGGGGAAATGACCCTGAGAAGCACTGCTTGTCTCCGACTTTCTATCTGGTTCATGGGTCAGCTCATCTTCCTTTACATGTACTTGTGCTTTATTTGGCCAAGTGTGGTTAGGTGCACAAGGAATTTGTCTCCGGTGCAGAAGCACTCAGTGTACTTGCAAAAGAGCAGAATGTAACAATACTAAAGTGTACAACCGATAAAAGGGAAAAGTAAGAAATAATAAAGGGGATAAATAAATAATATGGATTGATGTAGATATATATTAGGCAAAAAACAAACAAACAAAACCCTTAGTCACTGTATTTTGTCCGCTGTGAGAATTAGGTGTTCAGCAGAAGTGATGGCAGAAGGAAGAAACTGTCCCTGTGACTAGTTGCATTGGCATACAATGCCCTATAGTGCCGTCCCAAGGGAAGGAATTGAAAATTTATGTCCAGGATGAGAGGGGTCTGCAAATATCTTCTCAGCCCTCCTTCTGACCTGCACAATATATATGTCTCCTATGGCAGGCAGATATTCCACATTTTATATTCCACCCAGCTGCTTCTTGTCTTTACATCTTTTCATTGTGACTCCCACGTCCCACGTGTCCCTCTGACAGTGCTCACCGTGGCCTCATTGCAAACGCTACACTTTACCACATGCTGATGCATCTTTCCCTCCACATTGATGGGGCTCTGGCAGACTCGGCAAGTGATCATAGGGGCACTGCCGCTCTCCGGCGACGCCATCGGGGAATAGGGTGGGGGATCTTCTGCAGGCAGTACGGCTGCTTGGGTCCCATCGAGACTGCTGAAAGAGGAAAATCCTTGGAAGGGAACAGAAAGAATCATGGTGAAAAGGGAGCACTCAATTACCATTCTATGGTGCTGCTGTTAAGTTTACAGGCTGCCCCCTCGATCCTTGTTCCAGATCTCTTACCTGCATTTCATTGTCCTCAAATTTCTTCACCAGCACCATCACCCTTTGATCCCCACCTCTAAATTTGTTCATCTTCTACCTGCAAAGTCCTAAAGAGGGTGGCCTTGATGAAGAGAGGGGAGATTTGTACCAAAGCAATGAGGACGGAAAAACTGCTTCGGTCCAAATAATGAAGGAGGAATGAGAAAACATTTGAAGCCACTTTCATGATTCACATTATGAATCAAGATTGACTCAGCCTTCCATCCTTCTGAGGTCGGTAAAAATGAGGACCCAGATTGTTGTGTGGCCAATATGTTGACTCTGTAAACCGCTTAGAGAAGGCTGTAAAAGCACTATGAAGCAATATATAAGTCTAAGTGCTATTGCTAGTATAAGAGAGAGAGGAGGTGAGCCATAATTAAGAGTTTTATATACAGACATCTACTTTTATTTACAATCTACAGTATCTACTTTTATCTACAAATATCTACAGGCCCCTCACATCTTAAACTGTTTGAATTTCTCCACTCAGGATGCCACTATAGGGCATTGCACGCCAAAACAACTAGTCACAAAGGTAGTTCCCCTTCCCACATCCATGCCATCACTCTGCTAATCACCTAATTCCCACAGCACTGCCTAATGCCTAAGGATATTTACCCATTTAATAGGGCTGTATTGCCATTATCCTTCTCGTCTTCTCATCTTTCCTACCGCCTTCTTCTATTGGTACCTCATGATTTATCACTTGTTGTTTGTATCTTATGATTTACCATTGTATCTCATGATCAATGGTTGTATCTTATGATTTATGATCTATGACTTATCACTTTGTTGTTCGTATGTACATTGAGAGCTTGTGCACCGGAGACAAATACCTCGTGCATCCAATCACGCTTGGCTAATAAAGAACATCCCTATTCCTATTTTGTTAGGATTGGTTATTACAAGAGAATCTTTATTTTTTTTTTATTTTTTTTTTAAAAGGAGGTGGGGTGGGAATTTTGGCTTTTGCCTGCAATTGATTTCTTGATTTGATGTACATTTTAGGACTGATAGCTCTTAGCAATTCTGATGAGCCTTCTTCCTTTGAGAAAAGCATTTGGCTGGAATCAGACTAGTAATATCAAAAAAATATGTTTACTGCCTATGCCTAGGGCAGGGGTCTCCAACCTTGGCAACTTTTAAGAGTTGTGGACTTCAACTCCCAGAATTCCTCAGCCAGGAGGAATTCTGGGAATTGAAGTCCACCAAGTCTTAAAAGTTGCCAAGGTTGGAGACCCCTGAATTAGGGGACATCAAGCCCCCCACCCCCACCCAATGTAGAGGATCCTCCTACCAAAAGGGCTTGAGATGAAGTGCTGCCTTTAGGATTTGGATACCCAATTCTAATTCTAGTCTCTACCGAGCCACGCCCCCCCCCCCCCCCCCCCCAAGCCCCGCCTCCTGGCTTGACGCCCCCCCCTCTCTAGGATACTCTCGTCTATCGTCCCCCCCCCCTCCTCGACCCCGCCCACCGCCTCTCCTTTCTCAGCGGCCCTCCCATAAACATCAACGAGGAAAAGGCGTCTCACCCTGTGGTGGGTTGGGTTTTCCCGGAGCAGTCGAGGCGGGTCCCGACCCCAGACCCGCCGGCCCCACCAAGCCTCCGGAGCCGAGGCCGCTCCCATCGCCAGGCTCGGCTGGCAGGAGAGGGGAGCGTTCACCATCCGCAGCCATCGCCGCTGCGGCTGCTGCACCTGTAACCGCCCTGAGTCTCTCTCGGCTTCCGTAGCGCGCACGTCCCCGCCCCCTCGCTCCCGGATTTCTCTTTTCACATGACGACCCGACGGCCTCATCCTATCGGCTGCAAGGAAAGGGCTCGGTCCCCCGTCACGTGACCAGAAACCGGTGGCGATAGCGGGCGCTGCGCTTCTGATTGGTCGGGAGGGGCTGTGACGGCGTGTCGTCCGCTCTCTTCCATTGGACGTGAGTCGTGCTCGTTCTTTCGCAGTCCCACCCCCTTGTCCCGTGACTCTCTTCTACACCTCCTTATTGGTTGATTCTTGCAGGCTGCTCCCAGTTTGTCCCGAATCATCGTTTCTTGCCTAATTGATTATTACTCCCCCCTCTCCTCTCGCTCAAGGTGGGCCCGGCGTTTAAAGAGTTCTAACTCACGTGATAGTGAACCGCGGATGCTGATTGGCTTAGCTCTTCCGCTGTTCCATAGTACGATCCTAGGAGCTACCCTGGAGCTGATGTGAGGGAACGTCTGCTCTCCCATTGGACGGGTGGAAGTTCCCCATTGCTTCTCCTACCAATCGCTCCACCTTTTCTGGAGAACGCTCCACCCCCTCAACCATGATTGACGGTCCCCGTGAAGATTCTGCCCTAGAGTTCTAAAGTTGAATTTAAAGAGAAAAGAGTGGTGGCAATCCACTCGTGCCACGTGCTCCGTTTCGCGCGTGGAAAGCCACGCGGGACTTAGTCCAGGAAAAAAAAAAGTAAGCCAGGAAAGCTTCCACCCGTTGTGTCTTTTCTTTTCCAGGATAAGCCTTCTTTAGCCCAGTGCTTTTCAAATGTGGCCACTTTTAAGATGTGCGGACCCTGAATTCCCCCCAACTTTTGGTGAAAATCACTGGGGAATTCTGGGAATTGAAAACTCTGGGGCTAAAGGAGGATTGGTAGGATTTAACTGCCATTGGTTAAATTGCAATTAATTAATTAGATGGGTAGGATTTAACTGCAGTTGGTCAAATTGCAATTAATTTGATAGGATTTAACTGCAGTTGGTTAAATTGCAATTAATTTGATAGGATTTAACTGCAGTTGGTTAAATTGCAATTAATTAATTAGATGGGTAGGATTTAACTGCAAGCCCTTTAGCATCCTTCTTGCTCTTCTTTGCATGTTTTCCAGTTCCTTATCTGTCCTTTGGTACTGGGGCAACCAGAACTGGACACAATGAAGGTAGTCCTCAACTTACAACCGCAATGTAGCCCAATATTTATGTTGTTAAGTAAGTTTTGCCCCATTTTACGACTTTTCTTACTGTGGTTGTTAAGTGAATCACTGCAGTTGATAATTTCGTAACCTGGTTGTGAAGTGAATCTGGCTTCCTCATGGACTTTGCTTGTCAGAAGGTTGCAAAAAGGCTTCAACAACAGTCATAAATATGAACCAGTTGACAAGCATCTGAATTTTGATCACATGATGATAGGGATGCTGCAAAGGTCATAACTGTGAAAAATGGCCGTTAAGTCACATTTTTCAGTGCTGTTGTAACTTTGAAGGGTCACTAAATGAACTGTTGTACATCGAGGACTGCCTGTATTATAGATGTGGGCTGACCAGTCCAGCAAAGAGCTGGATTGTCACTTCCTGTGATATTGATACTGCATTTCTCTTGAGGTAGGCCAAGATTACATTAAAGCTTTCGGCTTAGAGGTGGGTTTCAGCAGGTTCTGACCAATTCTGGAGAACCGGTAGAGGAAATTTTGAGTAGTTCGGACAACCGGTAGTAAAAATTCTGACTGGCTCCACCCCCATCTATCCTTTGCCTCCCAAGTCCCAGGTGATTGGGAGGGAATGGGGATTTTGCATTATCCTTCCCCTGAAGTGGGGAGGGAATGGAGATTTTACAGTATCCTTCCCCTGCCATGCCCACCAAGCCATGCCATGCCCACCAAGCCACACCCACAGAACTGGTAGTAAAAATGTTTGAAACCCACCACTTTTTGGCTGCTATGACACGACTCATCCTTAATCTGGTTTTTCAGATCATCCAGTTCCTTTTCCCAAGTGCCTTAACTAAGCCAGGTATTGCCCGTTTTGTATTTGTTCCTGAATGCAGAACCTTGTATTTATCCCTAACTGAACAAATTGATGGACTGCTCAATTTCAGTGGACTTGGGCGGAGTACAAAACTAGGAGGGTGGGGACTGCTACTTTTTGTTATTTTTGGATTATGAAATCTCACACAGAAGGAATTTTTAAAAAGACGCTGCCTCTATTTTTTTCCCTAAGAAACAAGAATTGAAGATTGCTTTCCCAGGTATGTGTTCCCAATGTACAGTAAGTTGTTTGCCTGGATCTGTTGACCTCATAACGGCTAGTATATTGACTCTGTGTAGTAATGGATAATGATACTGTATTCTTATCTCTGGTGGAAAGGGTTTTCCAAGCTCTTTCCCAACCATAGTAATATTGATTGGAAATAGCATGATATCTTGTATTTCAGCTAGTGCTACATAGTGCTTAATCTTTGTCCACATACCAGAGGCTTTACTCCCTTCTGTGGTATTAAATAATTGGGATGTTTAGTTTTAACATTCATAAATTGACAAGCGTGTGACACTAATTTGCAGAGAAGCTGTCACCAGTTCTGACTTCCCTGTTTATTTGGGTCATGTGTCCTCGAGAGACCAAAAAAAAAAAAGGGAGAGAGAGACAAAAAAGAGAGACTAGGTGGCTCAGTGGCTAAGACACTGAGCTTGCTGATCAGAAAAGTTGGCGGTTTGAATCCCTAGTACAGGTCTCCTGTGTGAGCAGGGGGTTGGACTAGATGTCCAAGGCAGTGGTGGGTTCCTCCCGGTTCGGCCCGGTTCGGCCGAGCTGGTAGCGGTGACGATATGACGTCACTGAACCAGTTCTCTTTGTTCGGGAGCTGGGCCCTCCCGCCACCCCCCCTGTTATTCTTACCTTTTATTTGGCCCCATCCCTAATCTATTCGCTGCCTTCTAAGTCCCAGCTGATTGGCTAGAAGGAAAAAAACTGTTTCAACTCTTGCCGCGGGGCTTCAAAGGGCCGCCCTACAGCTGATCAGTGTTAAAAGGCAGTGGTAGACCAGTGTGCTCGAAAAACAAATGGGTAGACCGGTGCCTCCAAAAACAAATGAGTAGACTGGAATGCTCCAAGAACAAATGGGTAAACCGGTACAGCTCTGCAAGCAGTTAAAAGCCTGGTAGACCAGTACCTCTGCTAAATCTTAATGAATTGTCACATGACCATCAAGCCACACCCCCAAAATAAGTCACGCCCTCAGAACTGGTAGTAAAAAAAAATAGAACCCACCCCTAGTCCCTTCCAACTCTGTTACTGAACAAAATTGTTAATCTTAAACATTTTATCAGAACATGCAGGAAAAGTTGGAAAGGAAAACCCCACGTTTTACTTAGAGAAGGGTTTTCTATGATCACGGGAAAGAGACTCTAGACCAGCTATCCATACCGTGGTGATCTCTTAATATAAAAGATGACAGCTCCCATCATCCCCAATTAGGCTGAGGAAATCTAGTGTGACTCCTTAGTCTTAGTCCTAATCTCTGATCAATTTGAGGTTTATCAGATAATCCCAGAGAATTATCTATCCCTATTTCTCATTGGCTCTATGCAGAATGTTCATGACTCATTAGACATTACACATTTTTGCTACAAATTCTTATACTTCTTATACTCTTATCCGGGCCAGATCTGGCTGCGGGCCTTGAGTTTGACACCCGTGATTTAGAGTTAGACTGGCACTGAAAAAAGTGACTTATGACCATTTTTCACACTTATGACCATTGTGGCATCCAATCAAAATTCAGATGCTTGGCAACACCGCTATGGGAACTTACTTTCATAGTTGGTGGACCTGTCCCCGAGCAAAAGAATATTGGGCTAGAATTCAAAAATGGATTTTAGAAATCATAGGATGTAGAATAGATTTGAACCCGGAAACGTTTTTACTAGGCATGAAATGCAAAATACCAATTTTCTGATCTTCTCTCCATCTAGCTTGCAACTGTCATTGCAGCCAGGATCTCGTTCGCACAAGAATGGAAATCCAAAAATATCCCATCGGAGGCTACGTTAATTGCAAAGATCATGGACTGTGCAGAAGCAGACAAGCTTACTGGACTTTTGCGAGATAGACAAGAATCGGGGTTATATAGGAGCTGGGACAGATGGTATGCTTGGCTGAAAAAAAGAAATCTTAAGAAGAATGAAAATATTAACCTTAATGTGAACGTGGGTAAATATTTACAGGAGCATTGCATGACAATTGAGAATTTTTTTTTTTCTGGTTAAACTTTTCTTTCTTTTGATGAGTTAGCTTAATGGAAGTTTGTACTTTCTCTAGGCGAAAATTGATACGTTAAAACTCTATATGTATTATATTACTCTCTGCAATTCTATCCATATTATTATATTTTTTTTCTGTATTTTTTAATAATTTTCAATAAAAATTAAAAAAAAATAAGTAATAAAATTTAGCACACCAAAAAAAAAAAAAAATCAGATGCTTGGCAACTAGCTCATATTTTTGACGGCTGCAGTGTCCTAGAGTCATGTGATCATCTTTTGGGACCTTCTGAAAAGCAAAGTCAATGAGAAATCCAGATTCACTTAACTGTGTTACTAACTTGACAACCGCAGTGATTGACTTAACAACTGTGGCAAGAAAAGTCACAAAAATGGGGCAAAACTCACTCAACAAATGCCTCAAAAATGTTGGGCTCAATTGTGGTTGTAAGTCGAGGACTACCTGTATTGCTCATGTCACACGTTTGTAATGATTGTGAGCAAAATACAGTGAGGCCCTGTACTTCTCAATCAATTTCCCTGAATTAGCTCTCCATGAGAGGAACTGGAGAAGGGTTATTCCGGCAGATCATTAATTACATTACTGGGGAAATGCAAATCATACTATATATATATGTGTGTACATTGTTCCTGTAAATCATGAAGAAGGAATGCTTCTAATCTTTAAATAGGCCCCTTGTTTAGAGAACAGTTTGAAATGTTCTTTGCCTTGCGATTTATGGAAACTAATTATATAACTATGTTCCAGAGAGAAGAGGGAGCACATGGCCCCACAAAGGAGCCTATCTAAAAAATGCCCATGAGTTGTATTTTTTAATTTTTTTTTATATGATAGAATAAAATAACTACATGGATCAGGAATAATCGTACCATCCGCACATAATTAATTTACATTAAATTAGATTACATTTTAATGAAAATTGAATTTTATTTTATTTTTAAATGTCTGACCTTACCTACTTTTTTGAAATACTGTTTGGTACTGTGTACTGAAAAGCCATTCTTGATTTATTAATTGACATGATGTGCTTAGAAGCTACAGAACCAAATGATTTAAATCTTTGATGCTCTCTAGTTAAATTGAATTAAAAAGTTGGGGTCTCTTTGCTGGGAATTCTAGGAGTAATAATGTAAAATATGAGGCAAATATTTTATATAAATAAAATTCAGGTTTTCTTTTTCCCATATTCTTTCTCTACCTTCAGCAAGATTTTGAAGATGCTGGTAGATTTTGTTTCTCTTCTTAACAATTTCCTTGTTATATCCATTATATCACGGGTAAGCAATTAATTTCCCCAAGGGGCAACAGAAACTAGGACTGGTGTGGAAGGCCAAATCAATAAACTGAATTTAATTCTAATCAGTATTACTGTAGTTTTCGCGCTTTATAAAAAGCAGTAAATTCAAGAAAAAGAATAAAACTTTCCCAGCCCTATCTAAATGTTTTAGCATTTAGCATTAATCATCATGTGGGTGGACATATACCTGTGATTATTCAAAAGAAAAATAAACTCTTTGGCCCTGCCAAAAAAGGGAGAACCCTGAAAATTGCCTGTATTCCTATCCCACACCTACCTCAATGGACGGAAGAACTTCATGTTCTACCGGAAGCTTACAAATTCTCATATAAATCTACAGGCATCCAATTTCCATCTAGAACATATCAGATTAATATCTATCACGGCAATTAAAAAATAGGATCCATGAATGCTGACTGGCGGTCAAATGCCATCATCCCAAATCCTTAATCTCTACCCACACCAAGCAGCACCAGTTCAGTTGGAGCAACAGAAAAATCATTGGCTATGCTATCACCTGATCTGCCATGCTCATGAGTTCATTGAACTCATTGCACTCCACAAACAACTCCCATCAACAGACACATTGACTAGTGGTGAAATCCTCCGTGGATTGCCACCGGTCGGCTGCCCGTGCATACACGGTGTGTGCTAAACACACTGTGCGCACTGCATGCATATGCGCAGTGCATGCCAAACACATGCTTCGCATGGAAAAAGAAGAGCAAGGGGGAAGAACAGCTGTGCCATGCGATTTAGATTCACCAGAAAGCAGGATTTCCTGCTTTATAGTGAATATAAATCGCGCGGCACAGCTGATCGTCGGAAATACGGTTCGTCTGAACTGGTAGCTTTTATCACTACCAGTTCGCCCTAACCGGTGTGAACTGGTAGCATTTTACCACTGACATTGACCTACAACCAGCCTACAAATCCCTCAGAATCCAAATCAGCTGTACAGCCAACCAGAGACAGCACTGACCCTCAACCAAGCCACGCAACCTACCCCCTGAACCAGCACTTCACCTCCCAATGACCCTGACCTGATGTAACCTTCCCATCACAAGACCCTCATTTGACACACCCACACCTGAAACCCTTATAAACAGAAGAACACCGATATCCCTTAAACTCTGCTGAAGATGTTCCCAAGCCTGGTAGTGAAATGTTTGGAAACCAACCCGTAAACTCAAAGAAGGAATCTTCCCCCTCATTAATATCTATAATCAGGCTCAATGCATTTATTCTAACAAAGATGCTTAATTGAAGAGTTACATTTTGGATTTGGGCGACTATAGTACAGGTAGTCCTTAAGCTACAACCATTTGATAAGCAACCAACTTTGTAACAACAAAGGAAAATATCTGTAGTTCAGGGTTGACACGAGGGGGTCCTTGGTCTCTCTGAGTTGGCTGTTTTCTTACAGACATTTCATTACCCAAACTAGGTAACATCATCAGTGTAGTGAGGAGTGGGGTTTGTTCTCTGTTTATATTCTAGTGCAGCGATGACGAACCTTTTCGGCACCAAGTGCCGAAAAGAGTGTGTGCACGCACCCTGCGTACACATCTGGGCTGCAACCCGGAAGAGGAGCTGCCCTGGGCGCATGCGTGTGCCCAAAAATGAACTTCCAGTTTTAGCCAGCTACTCTTCCGGGTTTCTGGCACGCATGTGCACGCGACGATCAGCTGGCCGGTGCACATGCTCACGCAGGAAAACGGAAAACCAGCCATTCTAGTTTCCGGCATTGCTGCATGCAAAAAGGCCAGATGATCGTCGCATGCACATGCATGCCAGAAACCCGGAAGAGGAACGGGCAACATTGCTCATGCTAGGTGACATGGCTCCGTTTGCCACTCTGGTCATGTGTGCCATCATAGTTCCAGTGGCTTGTCCTGTAAGTGTTGGTTGGGGTTGTCATAGAGGTTCTTTGGTGGGCTTTTTACTGTTAGCTTCTTTGACAGTTTCTTGATTGGGTATTGTTTACTTGACTGTTGGCCTGATGTTAATCTAGGCCAGTGGTTCTCAACCTTCCTAATGCCGCGACCCTTTAATACAGTTCCTCATGTTGTGGTGACCCCCAACCAGGGGTGGGTTCTAAATTTTTTTTATTACCGGTTCTGTGGGTGTGGCTTATTTTGTGGGCGTGGCTTGGAGGTCATGTGACGGTGGGCATGGCTAGCTGGTCATGTGACCTGGTGGCCATGGCTATGTGTATAGGGACTACTCAGAGGGCTGAAAAAAGTCATTTCTGACAGGTCCTCGCACTTTTGACTGGTCCTCACACTTATGACCATCCTCACATTTATGCCTGTGCAGCATTCTTAACAACTATGTCACTCATTTCACAACTGCTTCTCTTCACCATGGTATAAGATAGGGCAAAAAATGTAAAATGTGAGGACAGTCGTAAATTCGAGGACTGGTCAAAAGTGCGAGGACCAGTCAAAAATAACTTTTTCAGCCCTCTGAGTAGTCCCTGTGCACAAAAGGACTACCCAGAGGGCTGAAAAATGTGATTTCTGACAGGTCCTCGCACTTTTGACCGGTCTTCGCAGTTATGACTGCTCATCATTTATGCCCATTGTACCATTCTTAACAACCGTGTCACTCATTTCACAACTGCTTCTCTTCACCATGGTGACAAGATAGGGCAAAAACATAAATTGTGAGGACAGTCGTAAGTTCGAGGACTGGTCAAAAGTGCGAGGACCAGTGAAAAATAACTTTTTCAGCCCTCTGAGTAGTCCATATGCATAAAAGGATACAGCAATAGAGAGGGATGAAGGAAGGGAAAGGAAATTAGAGTAGGAGTGAGGGTAAGAGAGGGAGGAAGAGAGGAGGGGAAGGAGAAAGGAAGAGGAAGTAGGGAGGAGAAGAAGAGGGTGAGGAAGAGAAAGTAAGAAGGAAAGAAAAGAAAAGAGAGAGGTGGTAGGTTTGAGGAGAAAGATTGCTGTACAATAAAAAAGATGAAAGGGAAGAAAGCCAACCCCAAACAAATATAAAGATATTAAGATAAAGAATGAATTGTTAAACTTTAAAGAATAAAAGAGAACAAATAGGAATAAATAGCAATAATTAGAAACACACATACAAACATACAACGTATTTTCTTTGAACAGAGTATTTGGCCGGTCCACAAATTTAAACAGTTGTAGGAGGTTAGCACCCACCCCTTTCCTAGAAGAATGAAATATTTTGGGAAATATTAAAAAGGCAGAATATTATATTTCCCCGGATGAGAAATGGAGAAGCATATTTTACAGACAAAGCAACTCCCACCTTCCTGCCCCCCACCCTTTGTTAATGGGCCAGAGGCAGAAAGTCAATCCTTTGTCAAAGGACATTGGCAACACAATAGCAACAGAAACTAACACAATGGGCCCCATCAAGCCATGTGATCCTGTCCACCATTAAAACATCTTTCCAAACAGTCTCCATGTTTCCAGTGTCTTTTTCCTCACTTGGAACAGAACCCAGAAGGATATTTCTTCCAACACAGTATTTAGTCATTTCAATTAAATTTACAATTTCTAGATTTCCTTTTTACCATATTTATTCCTCATCTATTTTTTTAAAAAACCAATAATACCCTTCATCCTCATCTCTAATCTTAATCAAATTCAATTTTTCCCTTCTATTCTATATTATACCCCTTCGCATTGTCATCTATTTTCATATCCATCCTCACATTGGTTAATTATGTAATATAGTTGTTTAATACAAATTCAACATTTTAATATAAATCAATTAGTTATATAACTATCTTTTTTTGTATATTAATCAATATGAACATGAATATTCCAATTATTTCCATACAATCCAATTTCTTACAAATCAATTAATTATATTTACCAATAATAATAAACCAAATAATTTCCCCCG